TGTTTCATTGTTTGCTTGAGGCTAGATAAACATTAAATTCTCAAGTTTTTTTTACATTTAATTTAAATCTGGATATGTTTTAGAATTTTTGAATAAAGTGCAATTTTTGTTAAGGAATTCTAAAATATAATAAAAGATTTCTTTTATTTCGGTGCGGTTTCTATTAATTATGTAATTGTTATTGATATCTAATGCTTGTTGAAGATGTTGTAATCCTTATTGAGGAATAATCCTCGTTGATGGTAGTTTTCACTGAGTTGCAAACCTTATGACGAGTGATTCCTGCCATGCAATCCTTACTGAAGAGAAATCCTTGAGGTATACTTAGAGGAATAAGTTTTGTACGGTATAATATTCAATATTGCATTGAAACATAATCTCTGTTGAAGATAATCGTTGCAATGTACCATAATCCTAAAAAAAAAAAAGAAATAATTTTTGTTTTGAGCGTAATCCTTGAGGAGTGAGAAATCCTTAATAGAGACACACTATGTTATCGAGGTATAATCTCACCGAGGATTTGCCTAATCCTTGCAATCTTTGCCACGTAATCCTTACAGAGGAGTGATTCTTGCAATTTAGTCCATCTCGTTGAAACATAATCCTTACTTATAAGTAATTCATGTATAATAGAATCGTTAAATTTTATTTATTCGAGTTATTTAGAATCATCGGAAATCAACATGTAGGAATTGATTTCTTGTTTTAGAACATGGCTAATGATGATCATTTTATATATCGATTGGTTTTGCGAATTTTATTGTGGTCTACTTCTTTTGTGAACGTTATTGATTGCAAGAGGAGTTTCTATTGTGTTTATTGTCAGATGTTGAACCATATTCAACAAATCCTAATCCATATAAAAAAAAAACGATTTTTGATTAAAAAGTAATTGCACGATAGCATTTCTTGGATCTAATTTAAATTCAAAGAAACAGATATATTTGTTTTTCTTACTTAATTTATACAACATTTTATTGGTTTTATTTAATTTTTTTTCCATGTAAAAAAAAAATTCTCATAAATCTTTTGTTTTTTTTAAATTGAAAGACACTAATTAAATCTTGCACAGAATTATTTTGGCTTCTTTAAAAATATATTTGCTCTTGTAGAACACGATATATTAAGTAATTGGTTTATCAAATAAATAAATAAATAATTCTTTTCAAGGGGAAGAAAAAAAATACTTTAAAATGTTATAAATAAATTTAAAATTAATGAAAAAAAAACCTACTAATTTATTAACAACATTCGAATAAGTATTATATATATGTGTGTAACTTATACAGGGTGGTTCAAAAGTCAGTTAACCGAAATTTGTAGTTTATAATAAAACGCATATATATATATAGAATCATTTCTAACCGTTCTTAATATATTCTCGGTTAACCGATTTTTGGGCCACCCAGTAAAAAATTGCTCAAAAATATTAATAAACTTACAAATTATATACTAATAAATTTAATGTATAGCTTCTTACTTGAAAATTGAATACCCATTTTGTTTATTTATTTAAATAAATAAGAATTTTTTTGGGGGGGAGAAACGTTTCTTTCTAAAATCTTACTTCTGCTTACATTTTTTTAAATGTTTTCTTTTATTCATGAATTATTCCAAATGAATAATTTTATTAACATTTTTAAGATTAGAATAAACTGATTTTAAACAAAGTTAATGGTTGTGCTAAGAAAATTTGGCCTGAATGATGAGCGTATTTAGCATAAATTTACAACCGAAAATCCAGTTTTCTTCTTCTATTTTAAACGTCTTTTTCCCCCCTTTATCTCTCAAATTTTTCCCCCTGTGAATAAGACTTGATTTGTAAGTTTAGTATTTAATTCAATTCAAGTTTAATGCTTTCAAGCATGGAGGTACAATATAAAATAAATCAAAATCGATCCGATTGTAAAACAGACAATTCTTGATGTCCTTTACCAACCGGCAACTTGGCCATTCATTTCAATATTGCGATAAAGTATCTGAAATCTCTGCCATTAAGTATATTAAGAATATACTTTAGTTACAATTGATTCACGTTTAAATGTAATATATTTCCGCTGTTATTTGACACACGCATTTTACATAATCAAACGAATCGATACTATTTAATAATTAAATAATAGCTAGGTTGCGGCCGAAGTTTTCATCTCTCAAACGTGAACGTCGAACGTCGAGCGCCGCTTACAAGATAGCGGCTCGACGTTCGACGTTCACGTTTACTTATAATACTATAAGTTCGTAATATATAATTTCCTCTTATTTATTTTTGGCTTTACGTATAAGGATCTATAAACATGAAATTAATATTATTAGTAGTATATATTTTATTGAACAATTAACACTATGATAATGTGCGATACAATTGTAAAATATAGAATATTTATGCATAAATAAGAAACCATTAGCATTAAATATAGATCATACAACCGAACATAGAAACGAGAGATTAATACAGGTCACGTACATGTTTTGTTTGCTGTTATCCGTTCAGTCGTTTCCTACTTTTAGTGACCCCTGTGAACAATGCTGCTTCAGAGTTTTCTATCTTCTTTCAGTTCTTTGTGTTACATATCGATGATGGTTTTGATAGTATCCGACCTTCTTGTATTTTTCCCCCTCTTCCTCTTCTATTCCTTCCAACTTTTCTATCATTCTCGAGGGAATCCACAGTACTTTAAAACTTCAATTTAAATATATTCGAGTTATATATTATACAATCTAGAACGTATTAGCTATGACTTCGAATTGACCTGAAACTATATAAGTGTAAAGACTAGTCTCTGTGTATTCTCTTTTATATCACTAAGTATTGTTTGAATCATTTCGTGATTACAATTGTGTGTGTGTTTTTTTTACCTTTTTTTAATAATCATTATTTGATTTTTAGATATAATTTTATATATTCTGTACGAAATTATTGCTAAAAATGACTGATTCGAATAAAAGTCTTGCTCTTTATATTCTTCACTTTGCACCCCCTAATGCAATATGCCAATTATAATTTTTACAAAATTTAAATATACTTTTTGCTTATTTTTTATTGAAACTTTTTATTATTAACTTATACAGGGCTGTTCAAAAATATCGCACCAGAGGATGCTTTCATAGCGCGTATTTATGTACAGTACAGTACTGTACAGTATCATACGGGGATGTCAGAGGAACATGTAATTTACAATGTAAATCGTGTTATAAGCATTAAGATATGCCGTNAAAAAATTATTATAAAATTTTATTTTTTAATTATTTTCTAATAAATCTTTTCTAATCAATAAATTTATATGTATATTTTTAGGATTTGCTGCTTTTAGAGGAGCAAGAGGTAATTTATATACTTTTATTGTTGCATATTTTATTTGATGTAGACTAATATACACTATATACACAGTAAAATCTCTGAATAGAAGGTAGGAACATTAAAAAAAAAGGCCGTTTTTTCGGAAGTTGGCGGTTATTTAGAGGTTTATTTTGTAAAGAAACGTTAATAAGCGGGTGCCATTTAGAGGTGACTGTTATATAGATGACCGGCACGACCCTATTGTTAAAGGAAGTATGATGAACAGGGGAAAGCCACTACTAAATTGAGATGAAAAGCATATATTTTAAATTAAATAAATTAAAAAATATGACTACAGGTCTTTGGCAATATGACACACGTCCAAATGATAGTCCAGTTTCCAGGCATGTATTGTATCATGTCTTCCTGAATGGTCACCATCGCATCGGGTAATGCAGTCTTGGAGCTCTGCCAAAGATGTGGGCAATGGTAGCGCATAAACCGTGCCCTTTACATACCCCGCAGAAAAAATCACAGCGGAAGGTCTGGATAGTACCACGTTATCAGTACTGTAATACCCAATTCAATGGTATGAGAGAGATGTGTTCAGGTATCGCTGCATCTCAATATGCTAATGAAATGGAACCTCATCTTTTTTACTACTTTTTTAATGAATAAAATACACAGTAAATCGTCCTGGGAAATCGTCGTTAAGTGAGTAAGTCGAATACTAATGCCTCATATGTTTAGTGTTATAAATTAAAGTTTGCATTTCTATAAGAAACTTTCAACTACATAAAATTATACATATGGCAACAAAAAGTACGGATACTTAACAATTACAACAGTTTTTCTTCTCTCGGTAAATTTCTTTATAGCATAACAAGGCATTTGTGACTTTGGATAAAACTTTTGAACTCCGTTCGCAATTAGGATCATCAGCTTTCAAAATTTCCAGACCAGAGTTAATGTTTTCAAAAGCTTCTGTAAGTCTCTGTAATGTAAAGGTAGAAAGAGGATTAGATTCTTCTGTTTTTCCCCGTTTATTTTTCTTGATGGCTGTTTTTTGTGTAATTTCTTTTTCGTCTTTTTTGACGATTCTTTCCTCTGCAGTTTTCTCTTCTTCTTTTTCGTCGTCTTCGATGGTTCCTTGTTCTGCAATTTCGATAAGTTCCATAATAGTAGGCTCCTCATCATGCGAGTTTAATAATTCGTTGATATCTTCAATAGAAACTTTTAGCGCCAATCGATTTGCTATTTTAACTACAATCGTTATGGCCTTTTCCAAAGAAGATTCAAAACTTTCAAAATTTTCCACGAAATATGGGCAGAGTTTCTTCCAAACTCCTTTCAAGTTTGATTCATTGATTTTGTTCCAAGCATCTGCAATGATTTTTGTGGCATCTAAAATGCTAAATCTCTGCCAAAACTGTCGAACCGTTAGACCATCTTTTTCTTCTTCACTGATTGCCTTCATTATTTCTTCAAATGTACGCAGAAGGTAATATACCTTGAAGGAAGCAATAACACCTTGATACATTGGTTGAAAAATTAAATTAGTATTTGGTGGAAAAAAGATTATCCTTACATTAGGATAAGCATCTTGAAAAATCAATCGATGACCTGGTGTATTATTCAAAAGCAGCAGAACTTTAAAAGGAAGATCATTGTCAATACAATACTTTTCTACTTCGGGTACAAAATGCTGGTAAAACCATTCTTCAAAGATTGATGCAGTCAGCCAAGCTTTAGTATTCCATTTCCAAATCACTGGTGACGTTTCGTTGTTTATTCCCTTTGGAACTGTTCGATAGATCAACAAGGGTTTCAATTTACAATCGCCTGCTGCATTTGCACCTAACAATAATGTCACTCGATCCTGTGATTCTTTTAAGCCAGATCTCGATTTTTCTTCTTCAACAGAACTTTCTGAAGGCATCCGTTTCCAGAAAAATCCTGTTTCGTCTACATTAAAAATTTGTCTTGAACAATATCCTTCTTCTTCGATAATTTCAGCCAATTTTTCTGGGAATTCTTTTATAGCTTTCTCTTGAACTTTTACGTTCAGTAAGCCAGCTCTTTTTCTAAAACGATCAAACCAGCCTTTACTCGCACTAAACGTCTCTCCTTTTGATGTCTCTCCGCGGTGGTTCTTCAGAGTATTGAAGATAGATAACGCTTTTGCCGAAATCGTAGCTTGATTTAAAGGCATTTGAGCAGTTCGAGTCTGATGTGTAATCCAAACCATTAACACTTTTTCGACTTCAGGAATTAAACCTTCCCTTTTCCTTATGGTAGTCGATTGCATTGGTCGAGCACTTTTCAACTCTTCTAAAATCTTCTGTTTATTCTTTAAGATGGTGCTTATAGTAGAATGATTTAAATGAAACGTAGAGGCGAGATCCATCACTTTCATTCCCGATTCGTGAAGGCTTAAAATTTCGTGTTTCTCTTCTAATGTTATAGCCTTTCTCCTCTTTATGGACTTTGTATTCCAAGATTCACTGTTCCTCTTTCTAGACGTTTTCAAGGCGCGTACACATGTACTACATTTCCTCTTTCCAGACATTTTCAAGGACGTGTACTATTCTATAAATAATTTAAAATCGAACGTAAACAACGAAGCAGGGACAGCAACTGTGAAGTGATTAAACACAACAAGTCCGTGGCAATATTTGGCATTGATTCGAAAGACAGTAAACTGTAATAACAGTAATTTTTAACGTTAAAAACACGTTGACTCAGTCATTAACACTAGATAAGATGTTTCGCTCTCTGTTGTACGTTGTTCTCTGTCAGTCAGTCGACAGCCAGACGTTGAAGTTATCAAAAAACTGGGTCGTAAAAACAGGGGGGTCGTACAACGGAGATATGCTGAACGCTTTTACGATCCTAGATCAGGTTCCTGGAAAGCTGTCGTTAAGCGAGCCTTCGAAATGTAACTTCCTATAACACGTGTTATAAATTGAGGTTACGTTCTTAGAAATGGCAGCTTTAACTGCAGAAATGGCACACTTAAATACAGAATTTTGTACAACCATAAGAGAAATGTATATCAGTCGTAAAGAGGAGAGTCTATATAATGTATTTCTGCAAATATTATATATTTAATTATATATATATATATATATATATATTAAGCAGGCTTCCTCTTTTACGACCTAATTAATTCCTGGAAAAGCGTCGTTAAGCGAGCTGTCCTATTTCTCATAAGCTGGGGGTCATAAATTGAGATTACGTTCCTGGAAATAATAATAAAAAAAAAAAAAACAATTTTTACTACGTAATATCGGTGTAGAAATGGCTTACAAAAAGGAAGTTAAATGTAATCTTTCGTAAAGTCGTAATTAAAAATAATTTATACTTGTCGTAAAAGCGGGGGATATACTTTTAAGCTTTCTATTATAGTATTTATTTTATAAAATTTAATAAATACTATAGAGGGGGGGTCGTAAAGCGGGAAGTTCTATTGTACTGTAGTACACTTTAATGACCTAATTGATTCCTGGAAAACTGTTGTTAACCGAATAAATAAATAAATCGATTCACTATACTTAAAATCTTTATTAAATTTATTATTATTTAATAAATATTAGATTTTCAACCAGTAGATCGCTCCCCTCTTTAGTAAACTGTAATAAATGAACACTAACTAAAAGGTTGATAGATTTTATTTTAGTCTTTTTTTTTAAATATGCCATTTTTTTTAAAATTATGTAATTGTTAAACGATTCGAAAAGCTAATTTTAAACTCGATAATATGAAATTTTTGGTAATTTTATAGTCCATAATTTACTTTAAATTCGATAAAGTCGACATTAAACTGAATTTTATCAATAAAATACTCAAGTTAATTACATGGAATTTTTAAGAAATTTGATTTTTTGACATTCAATTTCATTTAAATCGTATTATTTTAAAGTTTACAACTTCGTAATAATTACTTTTAATTCTTTGTTTATTATTTTATTATTATTATTATTATTTTTTACCAAACTATTTTGAAGTGGATAACACTAAGCTTTTCAGATACATTAGATACAGCTGCGACTGTCATTAGCTCCTCTGTCATCATCAAACGACAATAATTCAATAAAAATACACTTTTTTCATCAACCTGATACACTTTCACGTCAATTTTACGTCATTTTTACGAAAAAAAGGGAGAAATTATGACGTCAAACTGACGTAAATATATGTACTATTGTATAAAACACTACTATATTTTTTGCATCAAATTCGAATGTATAGACTTGTTAAATTAATGGCAAAAAGTTTATTAATAAAGTAAACAAATCTTTAGTCATTTAATTAGAATTTAGCGATAATTTACCTTAAATTAAGCAATTAATTAATATACTGAAGCAGTAGAATAATGTTCGTTGTTAATTCTTTATTCCTGTATCGATAAAGCTCCCTCCTATAAAACCTGTGTAAACAGGACTCTCGATGGTACCGAATATTTATTCCGGTTTAGACAGGTTTACTATATTTGCAATTATGTATTAATTTACATGTCAGTTAAACAAAGGGGCGCCAACTCTAAGGGGGCTTGAACCCCTTTAAAAAAAACCTGCCTAAACGGGAAAAATACAGTAAAAACCTATGATACCGAATATTTATTCCGTTTTGGCAGGTTTTTAAGGGAAATTTTACAGGGAAGTTTGTGTATTAGGAGCCTTGATTCTATTAAATTTTGGTAATTAAATGTCAAGGGGTAGGAAGATAGAGTTAGAATTAGTAAAAAAAAAAACACCATAGAAACCTTTTAAATCTATGCATAATTTCCATTATGGAAACATCATTTTGAATAGTATTTTGATGTGTTATAAGAACCGAGACGAGTGTTAAATACTAAACAAATTTACTCAGTTTAAAGACAAAGCGTGACATTCCTATATTTTATTATTAATTAAGTAAATAAATAAAATGTAAATAAATTTTAAAGTAAGTAAACAACCGAATAAAATTATTAAAGTAGAAAATTAATTCTACTTTTTAAAACTAAATATATATATATTTAATTAGTTATATAATTCTGTTTGTTTCATAAATAATTCAGAATTATTTAAATTATATTTTCTCTCATTTTTAATGATTTCTTTCCTATAAAATGAATTCTTTTCTTCTTCTATTTATGTAAATGAAGAATAATACAAAAAAAAATAATTGAATATAATATTTCATATAGGATTCTATACGTTTGTATGGTCTTAAGGGTGAAAAAAAGACCCCTACTAGTCATAAATATCAGGCCTATTCCCTTCCTTATCCATAAATATTATAAATATATACGAATAAAATCAATAAACCTTTAAATACTGTATCATTTTTCCATTATAAAAGGGGTTGTGGTGTGTTCAGATAATCGTTACGATGGGGCGAGGAGAGATATTAAACCTTTTTATTTAAAATTTAAAGAATAATTTCTATTTTTTTTTTAAATAAAATAAAATACATTAATATTTATTTAATTTTAATTAGAAATTTCAATAATTTTCTAGGGTTCTGTTAATTTTAAATTTGGAGTTTTATACGCTAAAGCTGGACAGACAACAGATGAGTATAATAGTAGTGTAGTATAGTGT